CAACTAAGACTAAAAGACCCACAGGTTCAGAAGGTAGTGGTGTTTCAATCCTCCTCCCCCACAGATGACGAACGTCTTCGTGCAAAAGGCCTCCAGCTGGCTAACAGCAAAGAAAATGCAGTGAGAGTAGGAGCAGATTCTAGTTTGGCTAAACCCAGCCCTCAAATTCAAACCAAGTACTCCCCTCATATGCCTGTAAAAGCAGAGAGAAAAGAAGCAGCTGAAAGTAAGACTGATGTTGCCCAGGGCAAATCCCACACTGAGTCACAGAAATGCCCCATAAAATCATTACCTATTCTAGATGATCCAACAACACCTAGCCCCTCTGTAGACAAGGTCTCCACTCTCCCAGTCAGAGACTCAAAGAAGCAAGGCAGTGGTAAGGGGAAGTTGCAGCGCAGTGCACCTTTCCTGAGCTTTAGAAACCTTCTTTCAGCTACGTTTCCAGCAAGAATGAGAAGAGAAACAGATGAACGAAGGGCTCAGTTGCAGAAAGTTCGTCAGTATGAGCTAGAGTTCTTAGAGGAGCTGCTGAAACCCAAGTCATCCCAGGGAGAATTTTTGCCCCAGGGGTCCTCACCTGTGCCCTCAGGCACTCCGTGTGCCTGCCAGCTTCGCACCAGCCCTGTCCTAAAGGCACCAGGTATCTCCCGGGAGCAGCGACGCAGCTGTGACTGTAAGCGAATGTGTAGGGGCATGCGACTACCTGACACTCCAGTTGGCTCAACAACAGAGACACAACAAAGAGGCAGAGAGAGAACTATCCAGAAGACCCCTCCAGCGGTCTCCAAAGCCACTCACACCCAAGGTGCTACAAGGAGACCTCAGACTTTAGAGATCAAGACCACACGAATACGCTCTACCAGCCTTGAGTCAAGAGAGCCAAGGGGAGAGCAGGGTTCCTGCTTGCCCACCTGTACTTCTCAAACAGATTGCATGGGAGGGCCCCAATATAAGAAGCTCCAGAGGCGATACAGCATTGGAGAGCTGGATAACAGCGCTAGCACACCTGTGTATGCTGAGGTGAAGCCCAAAGCCAAGAGTCTAGAGAAAGAGATGGAGAGAGTGAGGGCGACAGGGCTGAGACTCCCAACCCCAGTAGAGCCAGTCCACACTCAGTCTCACCAAGCAGAGGGAAAGGGGAAAAAGGGTGTGTTTTTCATTCAGGGAGAAGAGTTACTGCGTGAAAGTAAAGATGGGACTGCTGAGGTGCTGCTGACCCTGCCCAGTGAAGACAGTGATGACAAGGATAAATGTTGCTCATTCTGTTTCTGCTACAGGAAGTGTGAGGCAGCAGATGAGAGCAGTGAGAAGGATGAGCTCTCATACTCCATACCGCTTCAGGTCCTTCCTGGCATGGAGCTGGACTCACGTACCTTTCCTGTCGTAAGCAAAACACTCCAGGTCCTTAATGCAGAGGACTGCAGTGGGGAGGAAGAAGAGGATGAAGAGGAGGAGCCACAGACACAGGAGATTGACCTGAGAGCTTGTGGTACACTGGAGGGGAGTCTGGCACGGGTACAGGCTCTACAGGGGAAAACTTTCAGCTTGCCTGATGGTTTCCTAAATGCCCAGTTAGATGCTAATGAGTTGCTAGCTATCCTCCGTCAGTGTGCTAACAGTCCACAAGCTGACGGTGAGGCTCGTCTTCAGCCCCCACAGATTGCAGAGTACAAACAGGAGCTGGCAGTGCGCTTCAAAGAATTCAGAGCATCTTGCCGGCGAGTGGCAAGTGTTGAAAAAAGCCCAACACGCATGCTTGCTGTTGTAACAGCCAGCTTTCAAGTGTTGTGTGAACTAACTCAGACATTTATCAAGTTGGTCAGAGGGGTTCGTTCAGAAACCCAAAGGCTGCAGCTCTTGAGAAAAGTTGAGGAAGTGGCTATCAACTACACTTTGCTTCTGCGTGCAGCAGAAGAATCAATGGGACACTCAAGCAGCTTGCCAACAAAGACAATGAGCCCTCAAGTTCCCTCCAACACCAATAACATGAGCTCACTCACTCGACCCATCAAAACCTTGCCTGCCCAGTAAGAATAAATCTGGCATGGATGTAATCAAAACAGTCCAGAATATGGGTGGCTACACAATCCAAATTCATTATTTGTTTATTGTTTACATTTTTTTTACAAGACGTGCAATGCAGCTGTTCCATCCCATGTTTACAGGCCCTGAGGTAGCCTCGTGGATCTTGTTTTGAAGATACACCAAACTAATGCACAATGGAATAAGAACCCTATTACAGACTGGGTGATACAGGGCTAATCACCTCATATCAATATTCACAATATACATAAGTTATAATAATATAATATTTTATATGTAATGTATACTTGAGTTGTGTCTACTTAGCAAATAATATAAAGTTTTGTGAAGAAAAACAGTGAAGAATATATTTGAAATGTATTGAGTTAAGAGAACTATAAAGATTATACTACATCAACAAAAATAAATGTATGCTCTGGACAAAAAATATTTCAGAGATCTCGTGAAGTAGCGACTTCTGTAAATTGCGTAGTCCAAAGCATTGGTTGGGTAGATGGTGATGTGCTTGTTTGTTGAATTTTCTAACTGTTGTAACGCAAAATGGAGATGTCTGTTTGGTATGTTGACAACGTCTGGCATACTGATACAGGAGTGAACAGTGTTGGAAAATGAAAACTGCTGAAAGACAAATATGACATTTTAAACTATACTGACTGACAGAGGCCCATTCTCTCACTATAACTGTGCAGGTATGAAACACACCTGCTCAGGGCAGAACATGTAGCAGAGACCCAAATCACAGTCTTATCCATTATACAGTAAGGAGTGTCGTTACCTCACTCAGCTGTAGAGAAGGAATACCCACACTGTACTTAATAACGCACAGTGAATTTTAAACCATCACTGATCCTTCACTTGCATCGCACTTGTCGTGAATCATTGTTTTAAATATTGCCATCCACTTGCAAGTGAGTTAGCTTATCACTAGAATTTTGCACAACCTCTGAAATTAGCTCTGAAGATGAAATGTATCTTTTAATGTTTGATTAAATGTTTTTTATTCACTCTGCTGCTGAAAATCTCACTTGAGCCCACACCGCCAGTTTTACATAATTCATCTCTTCAAAGCTAAAGCTTACTCGTTTCAAAGACTCCTTGGTTTTTATTCAGGTTTTCAGATACAGTATAAACAAATTTGCTTTCTGTGTGCTGTTATACATTGTGCAATCTAGCAAATATATAAGAAACACACAAAGTAGTTTTTTATGTATTTTAATAAAACTAACACATCTGTTTCCTGTCTGAAATCGTCTTTGTGTCTCATCCTCTTGTTATTCTTGGAAATTAATCACAGAGGCTTTAGAATTATGCTGGCCTAACATGTATACTGGACATACTGTTAAAAGAAAGTGCTGTGAAACCAAAATAATGGCAACAACTGGGCTGCGACAATACTAAAGACAAGAAATGTGATATTTTTTGCACAAAATCTATTTGTCAGTCCTTTGGGCTAGTTAGTAGGGTACTGCTGTAAAATTGAGCCAGTTACGTCTTTCTGATCATTTTATTTTATTTGATTATTAATATGCCTTTGTGGGATAATGTGATTATTCATAATTTTAGCAATACTACCCACCTATACTACTTAACATTTTATACTGGAAGTTTGACCTTCAAAATAAAGTTCTTGGTTTCAGAACACATTTGTCTTTTAACGATTTGTCCTTCGCTGTTGATGTGGCATTCTCCATAACCATATGCAGTGTTTTCTCTTTCGCTGTACTGCATGTTTTCCCTAACGTATTAGACTTTCAGGGGCAGATTCTTTGACAGTTGAGGGTGATAATATTGTTTGTACAGATCATTTTTCAGTTCTAAAGTGGAAAAACAGGCAAAAATGGAAAGCTGTGGTGGCAATATGTTAATGTTTTGCAGATGATATTCAGTATGGAAATGTATTATTCTACACTGTAAATGTAAATAGTAAGATAAAACATTTGAGAGAATAAGAAACACTTTTAAAACATTAATTGTAACAGATTTATCCAAACTCTTCACTATTTTGTAAAGGAAAGGTAAAACATGCCTGAAAGGTAATTATTTATAGTAGTAATGTAACATAGAGACTAATAGCAAAACATATATTTTAATGAGTATATTATGAGTATAAAGCATGGGACATGTTTATTTTTATAAACAAAAATATCAGACAATGTTCTCTCATCAGCACTTGATAAACATTTTCTGTGGTTCTGTGGTCATTATTCAGTTGCTTTGCAAAATTGTGTGGATATGTCTGTGTTTCATTCACACGGTGAGCCCGCCATGGCTTAATCCATTGTTTTTTTATGTGCACCTATTCATTCCTGTCTTTATTTACTGTCAATGATCTTGTCGTCACTGTGGTCTTTTGTCTGTGTACAAAGTTTACTCATGTTTTAAGAGCAATAAAGTATATTATATAAACTCTTTCAGAGAATTTGGAAATGACATTGCATGCAGTAAACTTGCAGTAGTGACAGAGTGTCCATAGAATGACTTTAAACAAAGTGAAAATAATTTATCAGGAAATGTCTCTCTTGCAGGTTCTTACTGCCTCTGGCAAAAATTGATGCTGACTCAACCGTGCAAACATCGCTGACATGACACAACACCAACCACTGACAGTAAAATAATTTTGTGTTGTTGACATTTAAGATAAGTTTATTTAAAAAATAATTCTGTGTCATTCTTATCTGTTGTTATCCTCATTATTGCTGAGCATTTCAAAAAAAGAACAAACCTGAGCCAGACACCAGCTTTGTCAAAAACATTCTAATAAGGTTATGTTCAATAGTAAAACTGGCAAAGGAAATCTAGTAATTTTATCCATTTTACACACAATCCAAGCCTAAACATTGAGTTATATTCCACTGTAACGGTTAACATGCTTTATATCACAATAGATATGTTGCCATGTCACAGAAAAGCACAGGTGTCAACAATTAAATTAATGATAGCTGAATTCCATTTACCTGCTTTAGTTTCAGGGTCCTATTGTGGATGCTGGCTCAGTGTCAACTGCCATCGTTTACTGGGGCCTCTGAATAGAACAGTCATTTTTATTAGTAACACTTGTGGTTTTCCTACTGTGGAAAATGTTTACCTCTTTTACAGACTACATTTTGGTGATGTGTATTTGTTATGGTCCCTACGTTTGACATGTTGTTTCTGTGGTCCTGTAGTCACTTGCCAGGGATCTCTGCCAAAATAAAAACATTTAGAATTAGCTTTAATGACAACACGAGGGGAATGTGCAGATCTTTTACCTCTGAATCTAGAGTATGGACAGGCCAAATATGATTTTGTACAGCCTGCATCACATCAAACACCATAAAATCTTAGATAAAGCTAATATGCATAGTGTCTAGCCTACAAATGCGCTGCATGTCCCTTCCACACGCCAGGAAAGACAGTAAGTAATTACGCACAATCAGTAGCCTATAGGGTTTAGAGCAGTGGTTCTCAAACTTTTTCACATCAAGCACTCCTAAACTGACACAGACTAGAGCATGGGATAAAATATTGTCCCAATCTGAGTCCCCATTCATAGAATATTTGCTTATAGATGTTTTATAACAGAAAGTGTATGAAACCTGTGACCCAAGTCATCATACATTCTGTCATTGTATTACTTATGACTTATGATGGTACATCTCAAGGGGTTTTTATCCTGGAAATAAATACATTTCTTACTTATGGATGGAATTAAACTGAACGAAAATAAACTATTCCACTTTCTGCTGAGGACCCCTCCTCTTCCGGGAATGACGTCACCGCGGCAGAACGTAAGCGAAAGCTTGCGCGCGGCCCCGCGAGGAAGAGGCGTGATGTGTGGGACATAATGGTGGATAGGTAGGGAAGACACTTAAGCTCGGTAAGAGTAGCTCATCAACTGTTGATCCATTTCCAGTTGTTGTCTTGGACTCGACTCCTCCGACTCGACAGCTGTTCGCTGCCGCCGCCCTCTCGGACTGAACGACGCCCTGGACCGCAAAAAAATGCCGAATATCAAAATATTTAGCGGGAGCTCACATCCGGACCTGTCTCAGAAAATAGCAGACCGCCTGGGTCTCGAGCTGGGGAAGGTTGTTACGAAGAAATTTAGCAACCAAGAAACATGGTGAGTTGCTTGTTGGTGTGGCTACTTTAATGAAGGTTATAATCAGAGTAATAACGTTACCTAGTGCGCATTTTGTACCTTACCATGCATTCAAGTGTGTCGGGAAAAATGAGTTCCCTACTAGGATAATTCACATGTATTTTCTTAGAAAACGTGGTGTCGCGCGCAGCGTTGTTAGGAAGTTGTAGTCTGCGCATGGCAGAGAACTCTTAACTAACAAGCTGTCTGTTTATTTTTTAGCCAACTTAGTTGCCTCAGTAAATTGAAATTATGTCATATGGTATTTACACTGTTATTTTCTGACTCAGCATGCTGCTCTTTTCTCCAATTTGACCCTTGACCCCATTGTTTACTCTGCCTCATCTATCTCCTGCCTGCCATGGTATGTTAGCTCATAGTACTTAGTGCTGTTTGCCTTGTCACCTCTTTCCTCTGGCAGCGTGGAGATAGGGGAGAGCGTACGTGGGGAAGATGTCTACATCGTGCAGAGTGGCTGTGGGGAGATCAATGACAATTTGATGGAGCTGCTGATCATGATCAACGCCTGCAAGATTGCCTCAGCCTCCAGGGTCACGGCTGTCATCCCCTGCTTTCCGTATGCCCGGCAAGACAAGAAGGACAAGGTGGGGGTGAGGGATATCTGTCTAATTACTTCTGTCATGCCATTTGCCATCCTGCATCATGACAAGAAGCCTGCAGCCATGTCCATCAACAACCGCTCCACACAGCATATTTGCTTTCTTTTTTTGTTTTCCTTTCCCTTGTTTGCTTTGCTGAGTCAACTGCTGTTTCCATCTTACTCCTTGTGTAGTTATTTGCCTTTTATTTACTCTCATTCCAACATTTTAATCATATTGCATGACTTGAATGTTTTGCACTTGTAACTACCAAATGTAAACTGTTAATTATTGTGATACAAGACTAGATATCATTGAGGATTTTGTAATAAACTTCTTATATAGGTATAAGTGTTGTTTTTTTTCTAAGCCATATTGCAGATATGGTAAGCTCAAACGTATTCAGTTTGAGCTTATTTTGCTGTTTTAGCTGAACAAAATGTGTGTTTGAGATAGCATATGCACAAACTGGTGATTTTTGCATGTCACCCATCATAAATATTTTATATTAAAAGTAACAACTGTCAAATTGAAAGTATTTTTGTATTACCAATGTTGAGGTCTAGAGTCTGAAAGATTTTAATATATGGTATAATTTTACTGAATAGATAAGCTCTCAGTTAAGTGTTATTTTTAGAAACAACAGTTTACTTATGCCATGTGACTGAAGAGATCTGTTTTCATTGCAGAGCCGTGCTCCTATCTCTGCCAAGTTGGTGGCAAACATGTTGTCAGTGTCAGGCGCTGACCATATCATCACTATGGACTTGCACGCCTCACAGATACAGGTGGGCAACACATAAGCAGACCAAAACAGAAGTGCATCTAATTCACCATCCTGCCATTAACCTGCCCTTTTGGGTAATCGTTTTGTTCTGTATTCTAAACTCATGTGTGCTTGATTTTGGACCTACATTAGAAACCTGACTTTCATAACCTTACATTATATATAGACTTCAACAAAGGACAATGGGAGATATGAGCCTTCTATTTGGTCCTAACAGCTCCTGGGACCCCTGTCTTTATACCTCCTTTTGTCTTCTTTTCCCAGGGATTCTTTGATATCCCTGTTGATAACTTGTATGCGGAGCCAGCTGTGCTGAAATGGATCAAAGAGAATATCCCAGAATGGAAAAACTGTACCATCGTTTCACCCGACGCAGGAGGAGCCAAGAGGTATGCTAGTGCCATTTTCCCCAGGTGTTGTCTACCCTTGAGCACAGTTCACCATATCTCCTCTGGAGTTTACTTTAGATTAAACATTTGTTTAATGTTTATTTATCTCAGACAAGCCTCTAATTTGACGCGTGCATTCACAGTTTTATACACTTTGGCATGCAACTCATGGACATCATGCTTTCCCTTTTACAGGGTCACCTCAATAGCAGATAGGTTGAATGTCGACTTCGCTCTTATTCACAAGGAGAGGAAAAAGGCAAACGAGGTGGACCGCATGGTTCTCGTTGGAGATGTGACAGATCGGGTTGCTATTCTAGTGGATGACATGGCTGACACATGTGGCACAATCTGCCATGCCGCTGACAAGTGAGGCCCCTTTTGTTTACCTTTTGTGGCAAATAAATGTGAAACTTTACATCATAATGGTGCTTTCAGACCAAACGCAAATTTAATCCTCGCGACGCTTTCCTCACGTGAGTACATTCGCTGCAAGTGTTCACACACAACGCGAGAAGGCGATTAGAAACCGCGAAAATTTGCTCGAGTTGGAAATTTTCAACTCACGCAAAGGTCTTCGGGTTGCCTTCGCGCTGCACGACAGGAAATCGCGGCTCTACGCATCTTTGAATTGACTTTGTATGTAAACTGACCGCCCCGAACGCTCGCTTCGCTTTTGGTCTGAAAGCACAGTAACAAAACACTTGACCACAGGCAAGTGGATCCCTGTGGTTACTATGGTCCTGATGTCAACATAACTTGGAATGAGTTCATTACTGAATCCCATTTAGAGACCTCTGTTCCAGGATATGTCCAGTCCTGTAGAGATGTGTATGGCAGTATACTGTTTCTGTCCCATAGACTCATTTCTGCTGGTGCCACCAAGGTGTATGCCATCCTGACCCATGGCATCTTCTCTGGCCCAGCTATTTCACGCATCAACAATGCCTGCTTTGAAGCTGTGGTGGTCACCAATACAATCCCTCAGGAGGAGAAGATGAAGCATTGTCCCAAAATACAGGTCAGGATACAACATTTACCTTGGTAATAAAAAAAACTTCCCAGAGCCCAAAGTGATTAGTGAAAGATATAATTATATAAAAAAGTTACTGTGTTTAAAATGATGTGAAACATGGACACAAATCCCCAGTTTGAGACTTCCATTACTGACAAATAATCATTAGGTTTGTGTCCAAACAAGTCATCCAGACTAGTTGTGTTCACAACATGCCATCTTCTCTCCTTCCAGGTTATTGACATTTCCATGATCCTTGCTGAGGCCATCCGAAGAACTCACAATGGCGAGTCAGTGTCGTACCTGTTCAGCCATGTCCCCTTGTAACAAATGGTGTCTACCATCTACTGTGTGCTGTTACACCAAATAAGAGAAGAGGGAACTCCCAAACACAACCATTGGCAAAAATGTTCTGCTAACTAACCGTAAATGTCTGTTACTAATGCTGACTCTTGCCACTTGAGCAGTGGCCCCTTCATGTCTTGGGCTCCAAAGCAATCGCAAGCTACCAATTTAGGCTAGCGTTATTTATTGTACTTGGATAAATAAGTCTTTATCCACGGTGAACTATGTCACCCCTTCCATCACATTTAGGTACAGAGTTTCTCCTGACCATTTCACCTAACCAGAAATAATTTCAATTTGTTGTCAAAGAGCTTGTATAACTATCCCTGGGAGGTTCCAGTGGTCAGGAGAAGCATCTGCCTTATAAAGCCGTTCCATAGCTGTTTGTTATAATTAACAAGTGTAGTTTTTCATGTTGTGTCCTCTGCTGTCTGAAAGATTATAATTAATGAATGTATTGAACTAGTTTACAGTACGACCTGAAGCTCCACTCAACCAAGAGTGCCTCAACAGTCTGAAATGAAATTACTTTTTTCTTCCACCTCCCCCCAACCCCCCCACCCCCCTCCGCCTTTTTAACTGTTGTTTTCCCACTGGATGATGAACTTCCATGTGTCTTTTCATGCTGTAGAAGATTCTTTGTGATGTTTCTTTCAGCTCTTGAGGTGCCCTCATTGAGTGGGGTTTGCCCAGTGTCCAGGGTTCACCCTTCAAGGTTCCGCGTTGAAGGTCTTTCTATAGAGAAACAATCTGGATTTTAGTTTGGGGTCTCTGCAGGCTGGAGCTTCCGTCAGAAATGTTCACCTGCTTTTATTTTTTTCATTTGGGTGTGTTTTTATGTCTGGAGAAATGATTTGTCCATTAATGTGCATATTGCAAATTTTTGTGTTTACTTTTTCAGTAGGGCGAATGCACCAGTTATCCAAGGATGCATTCTTAATAAAAATTTAAAAGCGTAAAATCTTACACCTGGTACTTGTTTTTGTTATATCTCATAAATGAACCATACCTATATGCTTATGAGGCTTAAAGTTGAGGGTATTTTTATTTTTTGACAAGCCATTGGTCTATAGTTTATAGGCTTATTCCAATATTTTTATAGAGTCAACATTGTGGCCAGCAAATATGACATCTGAAACTGCTTAATTGTCCTCCTGGCTCCATGCTCTTTACATAAGTTTATAAGTTTGTCTGCATAATTGTATACATAGTGACTTTCTGTTGTGAATCTTTTCTATGCACGTTAAGCATTAGGCCATACAATATAATTCAACAGTTAAATTTAAAGAAATAAATATTTGGATTAAAAATCCAAATATATTTGTTATTAGTTATTGGACTCCTTATTTCTAAAAAGTAAAGTATGTCATGTAGTGTCATTAGATAAATAATTGTTGGAGTAGGCTACTATATAATAACAAGCGTATGTTTTCACATTGAACCATGTGGAACACGCCCTAGTTCCGATGGAATGACGTTGATTGATAGGAGAAATAACCAATCGCAGACCACGTGACGTAAACCGTCATAACCAATGGTTATTCTTGAAGGGACGGATCAATGATGTACACCGGCAGGTTAAGGCTCAGTGCATCGGTGATTTTAATTCCGTTAGTCTGACGAGGTTTGGCAGTTAATTTATCGAAACGGATAGAAAACGTGTTTCCAGGTAACTGGAAGGATAACCAGGAATTAGCCCTGTCCTTGTGCAGTGTTGGAAAACATACAAAAGCCCGTGCTGCCTTCAACTTCCAACAATGAACGGCATAAAATTAAAGTAGACACAACGCTTTACATTTTCTGTTTTTGCTGACTTGGTAAGTATATTTCATCCCTGGTTTGTCTTAAATGTTTCTGATCACTGAGTACAATTCAAGTTATTAAGCTAAGGTTTTTTTTGTTATGTTGTGGTTGTCTACATTTTGACTAGTTTCATTTCATCATTTTCGGTATCAGTTTGATTTGTCGTTCAATGTTTACTCAGCTTAAGGATGGCAGAAAGTCGTCACCATGAACAAGATAAGGAGGGCCTGAGGGAACCAATGATATATTTCCACAGCTACTTGCTCGGAGGAACCTCTGGCTTGGTATCCACCCTCATTGTCTTTCCTGTCTACAAAACTGTTTTCCGTCAACAAATCAACAACAGCCCACTTCACCTGGTAGTGGCACAGCTCTACAAAGAGGGACCTGTAAAGCTCTTCAGGGGTGTGTCCCCACCATTACTGATGAGGACGCTGAATGGCACCCTGCTCTTTGGCCTCCAGGACACCCTCCTCCGCCAGCTCTCTCTGTCAAGCCAAAGTGTCATCTCCACCTCTGCCCTGCCTGCTCTGGCTGGGTTTGGTGCAGGTTTGGTAGAGGCTGTTGTCTTTACCCCCCTTGAGCGTGTCCAGAATGTGTTGCAAAACAGCCAAAACGACCGTCATCTCCCCACGTTGAAAAGCGTTCTTGTCAGGCTGAAGACACAGAGCCTGGTCATAGGGTACTACAAAGCCTTCCTGCCCATCACAGCCCGCAACGCTCTTGGCAGCTCGCTATACTTTGGCCTGAAGGGGCCCGTGTGTGATGTCGTAGCGGGACAGGGGCTCTCGCCGCTGGTCTCCTCCTTTCTCTCAGGGACGCTGACCTCCATGGCAATCAGCCTGGCTCTTTACCCACTGTCTGTGCTAATTGCCAACATGCAGGCGCAGGTGGGAGGGGAGGTGACGGGGGTCATGGCTTATTGGAGGATGCTGTGGAAATCTCGGCAGCGGAGTGTGGCTCTGCTGTACCGAGGCGGTTCTCTGGTTATTTTGAGATCATGCATCACATGGGGAATCACCACTGCTATCTATGACTGGCAGAAGAAAAATTCAAGCTGAAGAGTGTTTGTTTTATTGTTTGTATTAATTATTGTCCAGAAAACAATGCAACTGTTAAATTTTTTAAATGTTGTATTTTGAGCCCCTTGTGTTATATTCCTTATCACTGCTCTTTGAAGGTAAACATATCTGCAAACAAGGGGCTTTACCTCCCACACGTCCCACCTTTTTTTGCAGATATTTCGCAGCAGTGTTACTATTACTAATGACATTAACAATGGCAATGTGTCCCAATATGCCGTGACAGTAAGACAGCTTGTACAGTACCAGGACCCTGATTTGGAAGCAGCTGAATTGAATTGAACCATCATTCATTTTATTATTTTCCCCTGTGCTTTTCCCTTGTGACATGTCAAAATGTCTTCGATTCCCTTCGTAATCGCAAGCGCAGCCTCAAGGACATGATCCCTCAACCCATTCACTCCCAAGTCATCACATATAGTCTGTGATATAGACTCATGGTCAAGACCCCTTTGGCATCAGTTTGTAACACAGTGGGAAGCCCTTATTAGCAGGGTGCAATCACTTTTATTTTAGTAATGCATAAATCTTAACTTAATAATAATTTACGTTATTACCAGGCTAGGTCTGAACTTACACACAGCTGGTGAAGCAGGCTGCTGGTCCACACCAACAAACACTGCCAGGACTTGAACCCCAGCCTCCATGGTGGTGGGCGAGTATTTATTATGAACCAAAGTAGTTTATGCACTTGAAAAATATAAATATGGTACTGGTGAATCACAGGTGCCTTGTATTTTTATTGTCTTAAAGGGGAACTTTTACTCATCAAAGTCAGTTTACTTATCATGGGAGATGTTACTGTAAAAACAGGTGTATAAAGTCTTTTGTGAAGGAGCTTTGCTTTTCACAAGTATTTTCAGGAATTTTTGCCAGTAGAAGGAAGAAATTACATCGACTAAAGGTCACAATGGAGTTTTCTGAACTCTGATGATGCTGTCAGGGTTATCTTGGACTGGAGAATATAACTTACATAGAACATAAAGCCTGAGCTACAAATTGGGGTTTGTACTTTGTAAAGGATGGTTATTTACCAGGCATGTGGCGTCAACAAGATTGGTTTTAGTGTGGGAAAAGTAGGATCCATGCTTTTTAGGGCTGGACCAGTATTTGGGACTGAAGTTCAGGAAATCTCAGCCTCTGCTGCCTTATTATCACTCTGTCTTTTGGGAGTCACCCAAATACCTGAAAGTGCACTATATCACTGTGGTGCTTCTTTAAGTGCATGAAGGAGATGCATGTTCATGGTGTATTGACAATGTAATTAATATTATGCATGATACAGGTATTCCATATGAATTAATGGTCTGAAACAAATACAGTGAGATAGGATACAAATATATACATTATATATATATATATATATATATATTATATATATATATATATACACACATTATATATATATATATATATTTGTTTGATAGGAAACAAATATATACATTATATAGTACTGTAATACATTGTCAACCCATCTGGGTTGTACCCTGCCTCTCATGAAGTGTGTGTGCGATAGGGGTGGGAATTGCAGGGTGCCTCACGATATGATAAGATACACGATACAGCAATTTTGCAATAATCGATATATCACTAGACAATCCTCAAATGATACATTACGATATCTGTCTAGCTAAGAATACAAAATGCCTGTGAAAAGGTATTCTCTATTTATTTGCTGCAAATCCAAACCATTAAAAAACAGCAGAATTCTGCAGCACACATTTTTCAGTCTGTAAATTAACTACACAACTACAGAGCAACTATGAAAAAAATATACAAAATAAACATTTCTTTATAAAAGGCACACAAAAATGCAAATTCACTGAATTTACATATTTCTTTGCTGAAATAATAAATTGCTGTGTATCACCTAAGTCTAATATGTACATCACATTATATTATAACTGTGAAGTGATACAGCATTGTACTGCCCTTTCTCAACCTAATGATAGCTGTATTTTTAGGCTATTGGGAATTTTAGGTTTGTGCTTTGACCCTGAACTGCCTGTTTGTAACCTCAACATGTAACTGTGAAATAATTATTGCAGAATAAAGACTTATTCCCTGAAAGTGCATTTATAAACTAATCTTATCAGTCGTGCGTGTGAGTGGTTTACTTGATATGACTTTTCTGATTGATTTTTGTCTAACCATGTAATGTCATTACCAGTCCACTAGATGGTACTGCTGTAAAAACAAAAATATGAAGTCGTCCACATCATAATGGGATCTCAAGGGGCCTGATCAGCTTCACATTCTGTTCATTCTTCAACGCAGGTACAGGGGAGGAACACATTATTCAAATGATTACAACATTGCATGATAATAACGGGCAGCCATGCCCAGGATGCAGCCTATAATATTGTAGGGAGGTGTCTGAGCTTTGGGAGCCAATGAGAGCGAGAGCATCCGTGTCTTGGCGTGCAGAAGGGCGTGCGGTCTCTATTTAAACCGTTGGCTTTGCACAGGTTAACCAGACACATCTTACCTGTAGAGGATATTCTCACTGCGCACCCCTGCACCAGGTAAAATTGTTCTGAATTGTCTCTTTTTTTTCAGCTCGTACATTCAAGACACTTAATCATTGCAATGCGGTGTAATACAAACATAATTAATGTTAAGAAATTATTTCAGTGTATCAAAGGTTTATAGGTGATATGCAGTATTTCTGATATAGGCCACACAGCCATTTCAATGCAGTGAAACCCCATTATAATGTGTGTGTGTGTGTGTGTGTGTGTGTGTGTGTGTGTGAGTGTGTAGGCCTACTAGTATGTTCACGTGTGATATCCTTGATGTGATGTTTAACATAAGACGAACCCACCTTCATGCTGTGCAGTCTTTTGAAACGCAGGCTGTTTTGCTTTTGTCTTATATCTTTAGGAAAAATGTTATGCCCTCATCAAACTTTTTTTCACCTGCAAAACTGAAGCATTTCATTTCCCAGTTATGTTCCTACTTCCCTGCTGGTCGCTTCTTTGGCCCTGGTGTACATTTTTGTATTTTCCTAATCTCTTTAATTATCACACATAAATGCAGATCAATGTACAAGAAAAGCATGTTGCCACCCACTTTTAACTGGATACCTGTAAGTAACATTACAGTGTTAACATAACATGACATCACATTAGAGCCGTTCTCTCATTGTGAGCAGGTAGGTCATACAATAGGTAGGCTACAGGTTGATTCTTGTGGCTGCCTTACATAACTCCAGTACTGGCTTTTTTAACTAAGGTGGAGCTTCATTGTATACCTGTATGGGCATGTAGGCTGCTGCAGACAACATCTTGACTGATGAAATGATAAGGCTTTTGTGTGCATTCTTTTAACATTTTCTCATTACCTGTTAATAGTCCACATCTGTGTTTTGATACAAATAACAATTTTGCTCTCTCTCTCTCTCCCACTTTTCTCCATTAGAACATTTCCAAAATGAGTGACAAACAGGAGGTCATCCAGCAGGTGGAGAAGTTCGATAAGGGAAAACTAAAGAAGTCTAACACGGAAGAAAAAAACTATATTCCAACCCAGCAGGGTAGGTGTTTGAGAGAAAACAAGTTTGCTCTCTCTTTAATGCAAGTTTTACCTTTTCCTCAGCTCCTTGTGTAGTTCAGCTCCTTCCTGCCTATCATTTTGAAAGTCAACTGCAAACACTGTATTACTGATTAACTGCAGGTACACACCCAACCTTGTGAGGGCCCCTCCCTGCTTAATGCCAACCAGTTCAAAAGAAACACACAACTGCACCCTCATCTGTTTATTATCAGATCATAATAATCAGGTGGCACTGTTGGTGGATATGCCAGCTTTTACTGGGATTTGTCCTGTTGTGGAAGGAGGAACCTGTGTTAAACATTGCTTTGGCACAATGTGTGTCTTTTACTGTCCAGTTTGTAACTAAATTTCAAGCGTTAAAGTGGGACTATGTAATTTTTAAAGTAAAAAATAGCACTTTATTCCTCTTATAAATGAGAAGTTAAAGTCATTAGCAGGACACAGATGTTGCGCCACTACATCCTTAGTTGTCTGGTATGACCAGCAGCTTATGGTGGCTAATATTAGCTAATGTTAGATGTTGCTGTGTAATCGACATTACTGAGTCACTTCACTAATTATGACTCATCGCTGCTTGAGGTGTTTTAGCATGTATCATACCTGTAAATGACCCTGTTCAGCAAAAGTTACATCAGTCAACTGGACTAAATATTATTACTTAATTGTCATTATTTTACAAAAATCATGTCTTTAGTAATTTCAAAGTTGACTCCTGTGGCCTGACAAATTTTACATTTAACTTTTATGTTGTACATTGTTGCAAAAATCATAATCAGACATTACATTAAAGGAGCATTACATAGATTTTACACACTCTCATGAGGAGTACTACTAAGCCAGGAAGCAGTCTAAATCTAAGAAAATAACCCCAATGATTTAACAGTGATGTCAGTGTAGAATTGAAGGCTACACATTTTCAACAGAAAGCTTGTGTCACAAACTGGGAGTGTGGAGTTTAAAAGGTGTGGGCTTTTATCAAGGCAGGTATTTATTTAATTTAAGATGCTATTGAGTATTTGCACTCCAGTCAGTACACACCTGATAATTTGGAGAGAAACTGAGAGAGGGAAACATGTGACCACTGACTGGAAGTACTGGCAGCTCATTAGTAACAGAGCCAAACTCATGAGTGGAACCATCTGTCCAACCAGCTGCTGCGTAGTCAACCACCGTCTAGAATATTTAACACTAATGCTTTAGGTTGTAATTGTTTTATGGTGTGTACATCAGAGTTGGGGTTTAAAATTGATCAACATAGGATGATAATATTTAAACACAGTGTTGTATCAGTTTGTGTTCTTGTCCTGACAACAATTGTGAACTCCAGACTCAAATATAGATTGATCATGCAGTCTTTGTCTCTGTCTGTCTCTCTTGTGATTGCACAGAAATTGAAGAGGAGAAGAAAGCCATGAAAGAGGGGAAGTGTAACTGAGACGCATCTGCCATGATTCCTCTCCTTCAGCCCTGCCCTGTTACCTGCTCTTCCTCCAATTAGGAATCCCATTATCTCCGCCACTGCTTCTGTCTTCCATGCCACCATGTTTGATTAGAAATGGTGTTTGGGCTGATGCTACAGGGAATCTGTCTGTAATCTTAAATAAATGAATGCAATAGATATATTGTGTTGTGCTTTTCCCATGCAGTTTAGAAAGGGTGGAATTGAGCAAGACAGTGATTTGACAGGGTGCAGGTTTAAAAAGAAAAAGAAAAAAAAGAGAACAATCATAAATAATTATATTAGTGGAAACCAATCAATGGATTACATTGCTAATAATTCCATATGGATGCATGTAAATGGTGCCGTTCAGGAAATGTTCTGAGAAATAATGATATTTTTTCTTTAATAAAAATCCATGTGTCAAATATGTTTTGCTTGAGGTGCAATTAATGTATATTTTGTCAAACCATCTTGCTAAACCATCTTGTTTATTTAAGGCATATTTGAACAGATTTTTATCAGGACAAGGTTGTTTCTCATGTAAGCTGAACAAGTTATTGTCATTCAGGAGTGGCAAACAAAACTGAAAATAGTTACCGTGCAGGTACATTTTCAAGCTCAGTTATTGCAACTGTAGGTGTAGTGTGATGAACACTGGATGATCTGGGATTTAACTGTACCAGTCGTTTGTGCAGCTCTCGAATCATATTAACGTATTATTCTCAATGTCATGCCTGAAATATGCAACTGCATGCCAACATAAAACTGAAAAACAGGAGAAGAGACAGAATAAATCAATTAAATTAATGACTACTTTGTAAAGTACTTTTGTCATTTATTTATTATCTCATAGATTTTAAATAATACAAGTTGCAAGGTCCAAGGTAGAATTTACTGTCATTGTAGTCATCTACAGTACTCAATATACAGGGGAAGAAAAGTGTGCTCCAGCGTACACAATAAAGAAAAAAAAACAGGTACATAAACAACAACAATAAAGAAACTGGTAAAATATTAGTAGACAATAGGTTTCAGTTGTTGATCCTTTTTTAACGTGTTTCACTATCATAATCAAAGGTCAGATTATTGTCAATAATGGTACCAAACTATTTATAGTAATGGGCACTCGCTCCTATTATTTGATAATGTTTGGCTGAGTCAAAGACTGTTGCAATGATTCAATTTTGAATAAGAAAACTGTGATCACTGTTTGTGAGCATTCACATTTAGTCCGCCATGGCTGCACATGAGCCACATGCACAGGACATGAATTCAGCTTCCAAATGTTAAGTGACTCCTCTCACCCACCTAGAGTTGAAACAGGTCGAAGCCTGCTGGAGAAAAGGGAGTGGATCAGCTGCAGGTGTTGCACATTCCACACTGCCAACATGACATATGTTAGAACAGTGAGTTTTAATTTAGTTTCCATATTTAGCATCAGAATCAGAAGAAGCTTTATTGCCAAGTAGTGTTTTACAGGAGGAATTTGCTTTGGTGTTAAGGTGCTACACGCAGACAAACATACAGTTGACATAAATAAATTTAGAAATATATAAATATGGAATAGAACAACGTCAGAGATATTTACATGTGCATTATTCCAGGTTTTACATACTTCACATCTTGTGTCTTTGCAGTGTAAATTGCTTTGGGAAGCCTGATTAAGGAAGGAGAAATGTATCACATTTCAGTGGGTGAGCATAATTTTACCCCCTCAGATTATTTGCGGATTGCTTAAGGTTTTTCCGCAACAAGCTTGTTGAAACATGCTCATTCAGCAGCATGCAAGTACTTGAGAGTGAAGACTTACTTAATTGTCTTTGGTTGGAATTTAGAAGAGTTATGCAGATTTACAATTTATGTTCTGCTGTAAGAAAGCGATCATAAAAAATTCATTTTCAAGGGAATGATAGCTTTCATGAACCTGCAAAAAGTGATGGCAGGCATGTTGTTTTCTTTTCCAATGATCTTTCAGGATCAGGCTTGTCTGTGCACCATGGCAACAGACTAGAGAGTTGAGTACAACACACAAAGAGAAAAAAAACAAGAGGACCCAAATAAATGACAGCAGGTAGTCACACACTTACGATCTTATTCAGAGTCTCTTTCTCGAGCCATATGCTGAAAAACCAAAGCCTCTACATGTGATTTGTGTTGTAGCATTGCATTGTCATAGAGATACTGGTTATTAACGGCCCCACCTGTATTTTTATGGCCTACTGTGTTCAGTTCATGTGTTTTCCCTGCATCAATATTTTGACATGCGCACAGGTACTTTTAATAGCATCACTACTTCCTTAAATTCACCTCGTCCAACAATAAAGAGCAGAGGGTTACCTCTACTTTGTATATTTTGCCAATCTCTGACCACCTATTGTGCAGTATAAAGACAATGGAGACACATTTGAGTAAACAAACATTACAACCACCACTACATAAACTACAGTGTGCAGTACTTTTTTGCAGTAAATTTCATTTAACATCATTAACAGTTTCATTAATGCCACAAGGTTCCTTTCTTTTCTTTAGCAGTCTCAATTTCCTGCATTTTTGCATACACAGACATGCATATATGTAAGTAAGCCTACATGAATGGCTTGTATTTAACACATGAGTTAGGATTTCCTGTCCAGCAGTGAACTCCTGGAATCAACATCGCTCTTTAGTAGCTGATAAGACCTTTGAATATAAATGTCCAGAAACACAGTGAGGATCATCTTTCTTCTGATATAACACATTTGTTATTTTCTTTCAGCTTCCTTTTCTTTGTAGGGTTCACTTAAACATAAAAATATTTTCTCAATTAACTCAAGTAGTATCTAGGATCTGTTTGCCAAGATTTTGAAAAAAAGATGCTACTTTTTTTTCTATCTTTCTATTGAAGAATGGCCATTCTTCATTGTCCCTAATCATTGCAGATACAATATGTATTGGATTTTTTACTTTTAATCTTTATAGTCTGTGCTTCTAGTGCAGTGGTATGTTGCTATGTAAACAGCGACACCCAGTGGCAACAATATAGATTACAAATAAATGTTATTGCAGTACCACATCTCTCCCATAAGCGGGGCCAAATAACAAGGAAACCCCGTAGGAGGAGGGGCGAGCGCTGGCTACTGCTGCAGCTCTCTCTGCTCACTGGGCTAACTAAAGCCCATCAACAAGCTAGTTAGCAGTAAGCTGAGATGATGAACGAAATCGGCGATGCTCTCGCAACAAGAGAATATGCATTAGTATAGCTAACTGAGAGCTTCCCCGGTGCACTGACAATCACTATCAAGCTCAGGACCGTTTCAGGTGGTTGTAATTAGCTGCTTCATTCATGCAGTCGCCGGTGCGCTGGGGGGTTTGAGCTCCGAGTGGCGGGGAAGCTCAGTCATCAGCTCGCTGGGACAACTGGGACAACACGGCTCACTCACCGGTACGATTGTTTTGCTGATAGCATGCTAGCCGAGCTAACATTAACTAGAGTGCTCAAATGGGCACGTAATGACTAGATATACGACAGTAGAGCTGCTGCATGCTCACAGTTTACATGTAGATTTGATGGTGTAACGTTAATCATCTTGCAGCTATTTTTTTTTAACAATTGCAGTTGTAGAGTTAGCAACGTTACGAACGGGGGGGAAAGTGAAGCGACATGTAAATACTAGTGAGTGTTACCTGGAAGCGGCTAGTTAATGCACCAGGTACATCATGTGACCACGACCTAAAGCTTTGCATGTGTTTGAAGTAGCTAGAGAGTATTATTAATGCTAACATATATGTTTTGCTGTAGTTCGCATGTGTTGGGGTTTTGTTGTATTGCTAGCAGCACTTTTCCCCACTCACTAGTGTTCGGCAGCGTGTAGTCATATCAACCTTGTGCTCGTGCGTTCATATATTGACTTCCTGTGTAGTGCCATCACGTAAGTGTTGATGTTACTCTCCCTCCAAACAGAGTAGGAGCATGGTGGTCCCGGACAGTGCCAGCGTGGCCCCCCAGCCTGACAATGGCTGCCCCACTGGCCTAATGGAGAGCTCCAAGCCCGGGTGTGAAGAGGAGGTGGAGGGGGGTCAAGACCTGGCTGGGGTGGAGCTGGAGGAGGTCCGAAAGCTGCAGGAGCTAGTTCGTAGGTTGGAGGTCCAGAATGAGACCCTGCGCAACAGGGGCAGCAAGACGAACATCCACAGGGGGGGCAACAGCAACCTCACAGGCGCTGTCAATATCAATGAGAGGCTGACTTGTGAAGGGGTGACCAACTCCCATCTCAGGTTGGAGTGCAGTGGTGAGATGGGCAGCACAAACTTTGAGCTGTCACCCCCTCAGGACAGCAGCAGCGGCGAAGAGATGTCCCCTCTGCCTGTGGCCAACGTTCTGGAGGAAGAGAATGAGGTGGAAGAGGAGGAACAGGGTCCGTGTGGGGGCTTTCTCACCTTGACTTGCAGCAACGGAGCGGGACAGTCCCAGGGGCAAAGCCTGACGCCAGAGAGCCCCTCTCAGGAAAGTTATGAGTCAGAGACACTTGCAGAGGGTGATTCAGGGGTGGACCAAACTGCACTGGATGAAGTGGATGTCCTAGATTTGGAGGATGAGTGTGCGGAAGTAGAGGACGAGGACAGTTGGTATGTTTTATTGTTTGCACTGCTTGTTTCTGGTCTCTAGTTATGTCTCCCATTATCCAACTTGTTTGGGTTATCTGACATGTATTCCTGTCATGACTGGACAGACCAGTGGGCTGCATCTACAGCACAGTATTTGCAGATTACAAGTAATATCCATAATACGTAGGATACAGGGATGCCACATTTAAAGCTTATATGTTCTGAGCACCCGTGTGCAGGTAGAGGAACCCCCAGTCAGATGTCAGTAGTGTTTTTTATTTTAACCTCTGATTTTAAAGTGTGTTAGTCCCACATAGGGCAGTGACTATGTACTGTACTTTAGCATTAGGTTATTTTGATCTAAAATTAGACTCTGGCCAAGAATCTGCATCACATCCACTGAAAGAGAGCAGAGCTGCAACACTAAATCGATTAGTTGTCAACTATTAAATTAATCGCCAACTATTTTTATAATTGATTCATTGTTTTGAGTCATTTTTTAAGAAAAAAATATGAATATTTTGTCAGTAAACTGAATATATTTGGGTTGTGGACAAAACGGGGCATTTGACTGACGTCATCTTGGGCTTTGGGAAACACTGATCGATATTGTTCACCATTTTCTGACAGTTTATGGACCACACCACTAACAATCGGTTAGTGAAAATGATTGACAGATTAATGGAAAATTCATTTAATTGTTAGTTGCGGCCCTAAAGGAGAGGAGAGTTTTTTTCTTGTACTTTCAAACTTGCTTTCAAAGCTCAAATGTGGTTAAAAAAAAATTAATCACCAACTGAATGTTTTCTGTTATAAGGAAGAAATGCTGATTTGTTTAGTGATGGAGGAAAGAGAGCGAAGGAAGACATCGGAGTGACGAGGAGCCAGAAACAGAAAGGGCAGCCAGCCAGAGAAAATCATTTCAGAAGCCGTTTACATGTGAATACAAAAGTGAGAGGCTGTTGGTTGGCTTTTAAACTTGCCTCTGAGCTCTCTGGCCCAGATAAACAATATGCGTGACCTGTCTGCTACATGCTTGGCAGGTTATGATGAACACTAAGGTTATGTTTTTTGTTTTATGTTTTTTTTTTTTTTAAATGCTTATCTGCACCTGTCTAAACCAAGCATGAATGAAAACACGACAGGCAACAGACATGTTCTTATCAAACTGTTTCAAGAGAGGAGAAAAGAAAATATAAATATAATAATTATCATTATGGTTGACTTGACCCTTATAGATCTGCATTCCTTAAGCCTTGTTACATAATGTACTGAAGGTCAACAACGCTATATTTGCATTAGTTCATTCCTGAATGCAGGTCAGGTTAAAGCTAAAAGTAAACACGACCATTGCTCATTTCCTCCAGAATATAATTACCCCAAATGAACAGTAATGGAAGATTAATTACCAAATGGCCTAATCCATGTAAATTTTATGCCAGAGCTCAGTCTGGATGTATTTGTTTATGCTGTGGACGTCGGTCACACTGCCTACAACAGGTACCATATTGTGTTCCTGATGGCTACTTTAGCAGCTTAACAGCCAGACCGTTCATGACTTATTTTCAGTTTCACATGATTAGCCATACCATATGTGCTTTGTGAGGTTAACATAGCCTAAACATCCAGTAATCCTAACAGCGACATAATCTGATCTGCTCTTGGCTGGATGCTACCACATGGCTAAACTGCTTTGGGTGGGATTGTGCAACATGTGATCTGAGGGCCCCCCCTGCTTGACCAGACTGCAACAAGGACAGAAACACCAGACCTGAGAGGAACTGCAGTATCTCTGACTGGGGGGGTTGATTCAAATAATAAAGTCTGGCAAATTAGATTGTCTAATTGTGGCACTATAGTTCCCAGACTATTAGATTAGACAGGCAATGTTTCTAGGTCAAGTTTTTGCCCAGGATTCATCCAGGATGTTTGTTTCCTAATGAAAGATTACTTCACGAACACTTGCGCTTGGTGTCTCTACACACAATCTAATAATAAACTTCATACCATATAAGTTAAGCTCCGCACACTGAAAAAACAGAAAAAACCTGAATTTGCAGTTGATTAAGTTGCATCGCTGAAAGTGATCTAACCTGCCTCCTCGAGGCTTCTCCTGGGTGTGGTTAAACAAAGATATGACACTACTCTGTTTTATACTGAAAGGAAGAACATCTGTTTTTGCTATAGGGTTCGTTTAAAATAATTAGAAATAATACATTTATTGGAGATATACTGATGTTGACTTCTCATCCTGTCATCCATAACCACTGCCCTCTGTATCTCAGATATACTTGAATGTTATTATAGAGGGTAGGTTGCACCAATTTTCACCAATCTTCTTTGTGAACACTGTAGAGACTCAGCAACCCCTTATGTCACAGATGTATACACTGGTCTGGTATATACTACAGTTGCAGACCTGCCTCTTGCATGAATGGCAACAACCAGGTGGTAACCTGTAAAAAAAAAAAATGTCTCAAACTCAAGAAGGCTTGTCATTATTCCACATCAAACACGGGCTTCGTGCAAGAAAGGAGTAGCTCCCACTCCCCTACGCTCAGAGAAGCTGTGCTGTATGTCAGAATGTATGACCGGAGTATTGCTCTCTGCGTCATTGCTCATTCCAGTGAGGAATGGGCCCTTTTGTGTTTGCCCAATGGGAAGATGATTTGCACTTGATTGGGTCCAGAACCAGTCAGTCCGGGCCTTTTGTGTATCCAACTCAAAAGGCTCAGCTCATGTGACCGCCGGTTCAAAGCCTGTGGCGAACTAATGGCTGTTTGCTCTCACTGGGGCAACACTTGACACATCTCAGTGGAGGCATTCGAAAAACACCACCAAGTCAAGTGGTGATTTCAGATGGCGACATTGTGTGGCTGCAGGTTTTCTGGCAGTGGACGTGAATATGCAGCTGTTTCTAAAATTCTCTCTTCATACTCAGACAGAAGACGTTTTCACCTGCAAAATATGTTTTCGGATTTGTTCATGTAGTCAGAATGTGTCTTAGACTAGGATGAGCCTGATGTGTTTGGCAGATGTGTAGCAGGACCAGGTTGACCCCGTGATAATGCTGTTCAAAGACTCATTACTTAAAGTGTTTGCTTGCCCACTGTTTGGTCTGATTAAATCATTCCTTTTAAACAAACCAGCTTGATTGTTTGTTTGATGTGAGCTCTTTGCTGCTTCAGTGTCCTTTTGCCAGAAAACCATTCAGTGGTTGAGCGTTAATTCTCACTCAGTCATGCCTGTGTTGTACATTGTGAAAAACATTCTTACTGTGCATGGCATGCTCAATACTATTAGTGCACACCTTACAGGCCAGTAGCTCGCACTAATCTCTAGCTTGTTTTTTTCCATTTAAATGTTCTGCTCTGCAGTTACAAGCCCCTTTTGACAGGCATGTTTAATAAAAAGTAGAGTAGGCTTACTTTTTCAGCCATTAACTGCATTTTCCCTACCTCAGTTTTCCTACATCTTTATTACTCTCCCAATCCCTTTTACTCCTTGTCATTGCTTTCATTTCTCTTGGAACTAACTAGTGTTCTTCTCTTCTGCCTCTTCTCTTCAGGTTGTATGTGTCTCCGAAAAAGCAAGTAGCAGATCCAGGCCCAGAGTCTCCTTTGAAATGGTGTCGGCAGGCTCTTGACCACCGCAGCCCAGAGACAGAACTAGCTTGTCGGACCCTGATCAGCCGCCTGGACCAGAGTATGCATTTGTTTATTCATATATATATATATATATATATATATTTTTTTTTTTTTTTGCCTTCAGCTCTTTTTTCCAAACCAACATCTTTATTGATCTGCATTTTTACTAATTCCCTCTGTACTCCCAAGATTCAAGATTAACTTAAGCTTTCATAATAACAGAGAAAAAGGTTTTGTATCAGAATGAGTCACATGTTGCTGCTTTAGAGATGGTCAGCCTAAATCAAGATTACTGCGCCTAAGTCAGCACCAAGGAGACAGTCTTGCCTCCTGTGAATATGCTTAGCTCTTATTTACTGCTCACCTCCGCAGTATTGTGTACATAATGCGTACGTCTCTACGCGTGGACAGAAGTTTGTGTCTGATCCAATACACCCCATATATTATTTATCCTGCTCGCTGATCCTACTTCCTACACACTGCAGGAACTGAACAACAACACTATTCACACCGGGGCTGAATGGCTACATGAACTCATGGGCTGGGTGTGGATTACCTTCCTCCCTGGGTCAGCTCACTATTTTGTTTAAACGGCAGCACTAAACCTTGAAACCGCCTGCTGGCATAGAGCATGTTTTAGCCGAACTGTAGGAACGATAAAGAGGAAAGGTGTAACCAAGGTGAAAAAAAACCCATAAAACTAACTAAATGAACCCTATTCTTTGTTAACTGTAGTATGAATGCAAATATTGCAGCAGTATTTTCTCAAAGCTCTTTTTTTTTTTTTTTTTTCTTTTAACACCTGCACCTGCTATTACTGAACTTCAAACTGTCTAAATATAGTATACAGCTATACTGTCAAACTGCTGTATTCATATCTAGGGCTCTGTTTTCTAGGTGGCGCAGCAACAAGGGCAAGCAGCACTCTGACAGTTTGGTGTTTTCCTGACCTTGAAATGACATTTTATTCCTGAAATGCACTACAAAGCAAATGCTGCTGTCACATTTTAAGATGTGATGTAATCACTTGCAATGTGAAATAAAGCACAATTGTGACTTAAGAAGCGTAGGATTGATGCGATCGTATAAACAGCTTCACCAAACAGTTTATTATTATCATCTGCGGATTTGTGGTGCTGTGTGTTCACATCGTGCTGCTCTGCACCATCCAGAAGACAACAATGTGATTTCCTGGAGATGCAGATTCTTCATCTGTTCAGCCGTTGTTGCCATGTGTCACTGTGATGGTTTCAGTTGTTTTAGCGATGATCAGTTATTTATTAATAACCACACCCTCCAATCTATATTCAGCTTCACCCAACCCTTTTGTACTGTGTACTGCTGTACCATGCTGTCTGGAGACGCCTATAAAGTCCATGTGCCTGAGACCTACCTTTTTGCACTTTCAAATAAAATGGGGCCCTTTATTATAAATTGATCCCCAACAGACTTAGCTATTCTTCATGGCACTCCCTTTAAAAGTCTGTATATTCTTCTTGGAGAATATCTAACCTCTCCTCTCCTGTTCCTTGCAGCGTCTCGATGGAGGAACATGTACAGTAGCCCGTCAGCAGAGGCAGGCTCGGCAGGCTCAGGCCTGATCTCTCCTGGGTACCACAAATCAACTAACAAATCCCTACTAACCTGTGGCAGCTCAGGTATGGCATGACATTAACGCACTGTGCTCTTCATTTTCTGCTCAACACAACAGTGGGATTCACGTCACTTATTGTAAGGATGTAGGTCAGTTGATATGTGTGTGCACTAATGCATCAACAGTGTGTCCCCTCAGGGATCTGAATGGTAATTTTTAAACACTATTCTGGCATTTTGCATGTTTTACCCAATTTACTGTGTGATGCAAATACGGTACATGACTGTTAACCATTTTTCAAAACATATGTTTTCTAGATTGATTTTCTTCCTGTGCCCGGCAGCCATTGTTTATAATTAATTTCATTGTTGTATTAAAATCAACAACGAACTGATACTTGCTTGAGAAAGACAGCCCCTCACAGCAAAGTTATGTAAGGTTTCATTTCAGACCTTGTGAAAAGGGTAAATGTGTATTGGGTAGCTTCTTTCATAACAAAGGTTGCTATTTTTCAGCCAGCACTTGCATGGCAGATGTTGAAATTTCAGCCCAACACATGAACACATCACACACACAGATCTTTCCCATCCCTCCAAGCTTTCAGCTACATCAATGCACAACAATCGCATAGATTAATCTAAAATAAAAACTATTTTAAGCATATTTGCTTCTCTTGTTGATTTGTATTGAAATGAGTGGGAAACAGTGTGTGCCTGGCCTATAGAAAAACACATAATTTTGGAAGATGGTCAGCAATTATGTTTAAGTATATGTGGTTTATACTTCAGGGCATAGAAACAAGGCATATTGATGATGTTTGGCAATGCTAACCTGCGTGAAATGTATATTGCTGGCGATGTTGGCTCTGTGGTGACTGAGACCGTTAGTTTGCACTCATGTTATACCTCCTCCAGCCCTTGACTGTGCAGAAACCAACAATGTTGATGTTGCTTATGAAAACCCTGTAAATAACAAATCTTTGCATGAACTTGAAAATGCTTGGCTTGTGGGTGGGCGACCCTATCTAATCCCAGACTTTTTACATAACCAAATGCCCCTGGATGATATTGTCATTTCCCATTTGTCTAAATCTGAGAGTCAGGCCAGTGTCAGACAGACATGCTTGACAAGGGAACTTTGTGTACAGCCTTCCTGGGCATCATCAGCAGACAGTGCTTTCTGGACCAACGCTGCTGGGCAAGACTGTAGTGAAGTTGGGGTGGAGAGACATGTTAATTAAAATTTTGATTTGTCTATATTCACACTTAAATTCTCAAATATCAGCTCTGTTTGATAGGTAAAATGCAAATCCACCTGGTGAATATTAAACTTAGATCTAAATTTGTCCAGGTACAGGCAGCACTGCGTGTTAGCTGAGGTGAGGTTATAATTCACACACCTTCACCAGCTGATAATAATGGTGCTACTTTTCTCCAGTATTTCCCAAATTAAAAAAAACTTTTTTCATTGACATTATGATGTGCTACTCTGCTTCATTACCTTGAAGCGATAATGCAGTTGTATAAACCTGATGATCAGTCCCCGTCCTCTACTGAGCAGAGTCTGACAGATCCCGTTGGCATCTAATCTTTTGTGATCAATTCAGCTGTCACATAGGTGATGGTGCAACATTTGTCATACTCATTTTATGGCGTGAAAGGGGCCCATTAATCAAAACAGTGCATTACTTTGACCTCACACCAAATTTCAAATGTCTCTTTTTTTGGGGGGCTGACGACAATCTTAGTTTGAAAGCTAGTTAGTTTATTCATAGTGGATAACCAGGCAAAAGGTTTATTTTTGAAACATGTACTATAGTCTGATAAGTGTTATGAGTGATTATGAGGGTGCAGCACCATTGCTCCCTCTTCTCAGAAGAGCCCTGTAGGCATTATGATACAGGCCCTGGTCTTTTTTTTTTTCCCTCCCTGGTCTTTATATGTGTAAAAAAAACCACATGACCGTTATTTCAGTACCAGCTTTTATTTGAGAGTTTAAGGTAATTCTCCCAAAAAGAAGTGGAAGTAACTTGCAGAAACTGTTTTTGCGTTTGTTGTAACGGGTATCCCACTGTGTTTACAGGTGTCCCAAGCATGCAGTCAGCCCTGAGTTCGCAGTCCTCCATAGACAGCGAGCTCAGCACATCAGATGACTCCATCTCGATGGGCTATAAGCTGCAGGATCTCACAGATGTCCAGATCATGGCTCGCCTACAGGAAGAGAGTGAGTAGAGGTGGTGTGCACGTGGTGTGCTGGACATCACCGTAATTGTGTTTCCAAATTCTAAAAGGTAGACTACTGTTTATGACAACTGATGACTGGACTAGCACAGTTGGCCTTAGTGCAAACATTGTCTTACACCTCAGTAGATCAGATGGGTATATTCTCTTTTACAGCTATGAAGAGTTTCCCGCGATTTTATATGTGCATGAATCTTTGTGTGTATGTGGGGCATTTGTATGTCTCCCTGTATGCAGTTTCCTTTTTCTTAACTTTATATTGTTGGTGTCAGGTCTGAGGCAGGATTTTGCTTCCAGCTCAGCGTCTGCATCACGCCGCAGCTCCACAGCCTCTCTGCAGTCCTTGCGCCGGGGGGGGCACCTACAGCGATCAGGAATTTGACAGTTACAGCCTGGAGGACGAAGAGGATGACTTCTGTTCTGTGCCCCAGCGACGACATCGCTTCACCCCCTCGCCCTTAGGCTCACCACGTTGCCTGTCTCCCTCCACCTCCAACCACGGTCAGGAATACAGCATCCGACTCGGGGCCCCACGCACAAGAACACCCAGACGATCTCTCCAGGGCCCCAGTGCGGAGCTGCTTAAATTTGCCAGGAGTGAAGGTAGGCTATAACCAGTAATAATTAAGCTTTTATACCCTAGGTCGAGAAGAGTGACCATCACAGAAATTCTCGGGCTAAAGCTGTGATGATACACATTTTGTTGTTGCTAAATGTGTTTTGTATGTGTGGTTCCAGAGGAGTTGAGGCACAGCATGCCTAATCTGGCCCCCCGCACCAGCCTACGTTCCCTGGAGGCAGTCAGAAACAGCCGCAGCATGGAGGCTAACCTCCAGAGCTCTGGCAACCGCATGTCCCAACTGACTCACTCCCCCTCCACAGGTAACCCTACCCTCTTCACCCGGTCCGCACCACTCCCCCATGTAGAAAGGCATATAGCCCTTTCTAGTATCATTTCTATCCTACCACCTTACCTCGTCTTAACCTCTGCATGACCACAGATACGGAAGGTTCTTCTTAAAAGTACCCTGTGGAATATTTGACCACTACTAGTGCTATGGAATAGGCCCCAGTTTTGCTTATATCTTGCATGAGGACGCACATGCATGTGGGTGACAAGGTACTAGGGATGGGGATCGTTAATTTTTATTGATATTGATACCATTATTGAGACTGCTTAACGACTATTATTTGGTGATGGTTGTTTGGTAAGACGAGACCCAGCTGGCATGAGATGACATATCACTTGGGATAAGTAAACAAATATTGAAGTGTGCATATTAGCTGCCTGGTTATTTTTAAATTAATTATAGGATTAGAATTGAATATTTTAAATGCAACTAAATGTTGTTTCTTAAACAGCAACATTTATGTTTATGGTAACAGTAACGTCACTATATAAACTCAATATGTAATATCTCAATACTGAGTGACGTTTAGAAAGAGTGAAGAACTCAGACATCAGTCAGTATCTTATCACTGCTGGCCAGTAACGTTACCTGGTAGGAGGAGCAGCTGGTTTGTCTCAGCCAGCAGCTGAGTTTACAACAATGTGCCAAATTTTAAGACTACAGACCAGTCTATGCTCTAGACAGATAGCTTTCAATTTGGCTTGTTTGTAACATTTGGCTAATACCAAGCTAATGTTTCTGTGCTTGCATAAAACATACAGGATGAGAGACTGAGGACAGAGCAGTTTAAATGAACCTTTACTACATGTTTACCCTACACACAGGTGTATGGCTAAAGAATGTCTTTTTACTCACGAAGGTTTTATTGCACATACTTACAGAAACAAGTGTAGCTGTCAGCAAGTCGCATAGTTGGGGGGGTTCTTATTCATCGCATTTACATTATAGGACCCTCTAGTCTTGATAGCAGTATCGATAAACTTTAACCTTATTGATTTTCAGGTTTTGATAAAGTTTAGAACCGGGTTTCGAAACCCATCCCTACACAGTACGCATTCTTGGCAATGGTTTCACATTATTCCACTGATCTACAGATGGCAGTACTGTACCAAGAAACGCACCAATGTACCAACAAAGGCAGTGAATATTATTAGCAAACCAAACATGGGCTGTGTTTGTAATCGCATACTAACTAATTCATAATAAGTACAATGTCAAAAGCAGTCTGTAGTGTGTTTCAGTTGTATACTATGTGGATTTTGTGTATGTGAAAATACCCGCATGTATACTTGATTAGCAAGAATTTATGAGTGTGCGGCGTGAGCTTACTGGACATACTCAACCATCCCAAAATGCATTGTGTCTCTTTAGACTATGCAATGACAATCATGTGATGCAATCACATGATTGTCTTGCTTGAATATGCTTCCAACAGTCTGCTGGTAATGGCATACTTAATTGTTCCTTTAGTAGGCAGTTCATACTGATTGAGTATGTAGAAGGTAGGACGCGCACACAACCATGAGTGCAATGCAGGTTTTAAAAGTTTTTGAAAATTGGTTTTGCGATTGTTTTGGGGAAGGAAATGTATTCAACTACTCTGTTGGTTAGACCTTAACTCTAAATGTAAAGAGGGCTCCTTTTTTTTCCAGTTCATTAACTGAAGTTTACAATAGGCACTATTTTGCAGATGTTTGGATTGACATTGAATAAAATTACATTAAAAAAATAATTTGTTTAAAAAATAATATTTTTTGAATAAATAAATTGAATATTGTTGGAATAAATGTAAAGGGATACCTCTTTACCCTAAACTTAACAGCTACATGCCTAACCTTGACCGTGATGTAATTCTAAGCTGAACCCTAAAACCAATTCTTAACCCTCATAAAGCCCTTAAAACTTGTGGGTATCCCAGTTTGATTTCCCAACTTGTCTGAAAGAAGCAGCTGCTTGAGATTCTACCACTGTGCCTGTCTTCCATTCAAGGTATGGCTTGTAGTCGGCTGCGTAGCAATGGCCAGTCCCCTCTCTCCCTGCGGACTCCAGTTAAAGCTGTCACTCCTGTGGGCTCCATGGCAGCTGGTCGTCAGCCTTCCAGAGGTCTGCCTGTTGTCCAAGCACCCTCTGCAGGAGGGGGCCGCAGGGTCCAGTCCCCGGGCTCTGCCAATGGCGGAGGCTACATACCCGGGAGAGCCTCCACTGGAGTGGGGAGGTCTGCTGTGGGCCGAGGACAGGCTGTGCCATCAGCATCCACCAGGAGTAAACTTTCACAGCCCCCCCAGGAGGTGAGTGCTTAAATGAAAAGCTATTAAGCAATGTTGAGATATAGAAGAATATGTCCTTTTTAATAATCGCAATTTTTTTTTTTATGCCATTCATGATTACAATTTGATTCTGAATGAAAACTTCCTGTTTTATTGACAGGTCTTTGGGCATGACTAAAATGTCAGATGAATCCTGGAAAGATGGCTGTTACTGAGTCTAGTCCGTGATGAAGGATCTTCACTGCTGCAACCCTCACCTGACCTCTACCCATTACCTTTCATAGTACAAAGAAAACAGCCACTGTGTCCACAAATGTGTCATACAACCTTTTGGTCCCCCATTTCAGACTGGAGCGCTGGGCTGCACTGGATTTGTAGTTAACTCATCTCTTTCCCTCGCATGAAACATTGTCAACCCACACACAGAGAATGTGTAGGCAGACATGAAGGCACACATGCACACTCTACTTGTGATATGGACCAATTCAGAGCTTCCAGAAGATGCGTTTGTGTCAATTTTACTTATTTTTCTAAGGTAATTGTGAGAAACTGCTGGAATATTAAAGGTTGTATTACTGTTCTGGTGATGTAATTGCTATGAAGACAATTTAAATGAAGATATTGGTGGTTTGTTAATTTTCTGTGTGAATTCCTACTAGATGAAGGTGCTGAGTGTTGCATGCTTGGTTTTGTTTGTTCTCACCCCTACAGCCTTTTCATCATTGTATAGCTGCAATATGACAAATCTTTGATGTGTCCTACAACGATCAGTGTGAATTAATGAATTTTTGGTTCATTGTGAAACTATCAAATAGATTTGTTCTTTAATTACACAACAATGCAACTCCTGTAAACCACACTGCCCTTAGAAATGATATAAAAAAGGAAAAATATTGTTTGTGCCAAGATGCATTTCGGCTGCAGCACTCTTTCTTATTCGTTTTTAAGTAACCTTGATTCATTAAAGGTGCTGTTACGGTACTGCGTTTTCCAGGCATTTTTACTGCATATCTGGAGGTGGTTTTGAGTGTTTGGTTTGGATACCACTGTAAGAAAAGAAGAAAACTACAAGAAAATGTTTATGCACGAAGGCCATGTGCCTTAGACAGCTATGCACCCTCATACAGAGTGCCTCCGAAAATTAGCTGTAATAAAAATGAATAATAAAGTCTACCCTGAAACTATATCTGCAGCATTTCTGACTATTTTTAACCATGCATGCCAAATCGAGGTCTGTTTGTAATGCATCACAGGCTAATTAGTCACACAAATGCAGTCTGCAGCAGAAGCAGTGGCAGTGCCTTCATTATGTCCCGGATATTTCCTAGGTGCGTGATCAAACGCTTCACAAATGAGTGCTCGACGATACCCACCCCTTGTGACAAAATGGCCTACAGGCCTCATCTGCGCATACAAAGTCGGAGAAGCACAGTACGCAACCACATTAAAAATTTTATTTCTTAGTGTAATAACGTTTGAATTTTGTGTCTCGGATCCGGTCCTAAATGTGTTCCCACTAAGAGAATGTCTGTGTTAATGTAACTCTGCTCTCTTATGCATGACGCAAATAGTAAGAGATCAGCGGTAAACGAGGCCACGCATTGTCTGCCCCCCGCCCTCCCTCCGCTTGTCAGGAAGCAAGCTGATTGGCCGAGGCCTAGCAAAGGGTGCCCGGGGATCCAAAACTGCAGGCCGCACTTAGCTTACCGTCAAAAATAAACCAAAACAATAACAGACAAAAGTGAGAGGGGGGAGAAACACCGATAGAGTCAGAAGACGACGTTATCAGGTAAAATTATTTTGAATCGGTTAGAAAGGCATATGGAATAGGACGCAAGGGCCCAGTCGGCCGTAGCGGGCCTCTTTCAGCCTTTTCAAAAAAACAACATGGAAGATAATGCGGCACAAGCTGCTTCACCTAGCTTAGCAAGCTAGCTAGCAGAACGGACGGCCGTCGTCGCTCAGATTAGAGCGAAATGCAAACAAGTTGTCTTGTGAGGCATACTGGTTTGTTGCTTATGCTAATGACTGTTTTAATATTGTACCGTCGTGTGGAATTGATACTCTAAAGGTCAGATAACATCTGTTGTTGCGTTCCTTGAATTAGCCATTATGCTATAACAAAATGGCGCTCGGAGGAACAGCCCTAGCCTGCTTGCTAGTTAGCTCCGGTGGGTGGAGGGCGGTAGCCGCCCTAGTATGCATTGCATAACGTCTGCAGTACTTTCATTGGCGGCCATAAACTCTGAGCATGTGTAGTTTTCTGCAAAGACTCCAGAGTATAATACTTTTAAAAATGATAGCCTTGGCAGCACAGTGTTAATCCGTGAAAACCATGGACCTATAACGTCACTACAGACCATTGCATATTTTGCTTATTTTGAACCGTCATGTGACGACAATGCATTTCATCCCACAAAAACAAGCAGGACTCATCTTCCTAGGTCGATTTTAAGCCGCGGCTCGTCCTCCTGTACACTGAGCGAGACATCCCTTTGTCTCAGCTGGTCTCCAGCCATCAGGCTCAACCAGCTCCAGGTGTAATAGCTGTATGTCCTCAGGTTGAAGCTGCCTGTAGTACTCTAAATAGGCAATGGATGGAGCCAATGGTCAACAATACCCCCCTTCTGCCATGTGTATTATACTCATACAGAGGCCAGTAAGTGGCAGCAGCAGTGCCCTAAATCTGAACCCATGTAAAAATGTTGTTTTTGAATATCTTTACAACACTTAGACTATGATTAGTTAACTTATTACTTATCTTCTGTTATCAGCAGAATGCTTATGAGTACCAATTGTTTTTGTCTTTGTCAGAGGGATTGATTACCTTGATGGAAGGAAGCACATCAAATATCTTATTGGTTTTATTCTAAGGGTTTGTCTTCAAATGTGAAGGTATGTATTGAATACTAGCCAGTGTGGCAGTATCAGTTGTTCACTTAAATTTTTAGTCATGCTCATGACAAAGTGAAAGTAAAGCGCTAACACAGGGTACACTGTGATTTTCAGTCTTTTTCTGAGTGAAGACATGGATCAAGGAGGAGGGGTGTTGGAGCTACACACTCAGGAGCTGAAGATGCCCCACGCTATGATCATGCAAGACTTTGGTAGGTGGTCAAGTAGGACAAGGTGATAACCATTATTGTAAATGATACTTAATTTCAACATGTAATCCAAGACATATTAGCCACACAAATAAAAAAGTTGACCGTGTAAATGCCATTTAGCTTCATTAAATAGCCTAAATAAAAAAAGTCTCAGTAACATTACATGGTCATTCTGACATTTTCACTGCATACCAGCAACAAGAAGGTGATACACCTTTACAAACATGCAACAAGATGCTGTGACATCTTTGCTGTAGCTCAAATGAGCAAAAAACCTTGTAGTTTGAAACTCTTTGTTATGAACCCCTCTCTACATTTTGTGTTTACAGTTGCAGGCATGGGGGGTCTGGCTCACATTGATGGGGAGCACATTGTGGTGTCTGTGCCCGAGGGTATGCTTCTTTCTGATGTGATGACGGATGAGGGCATCCTCCTGGAGCATGAGCTCGAGGTGGAAGGCCTAGAGACTCAGGTGGTTCACGGCCTGGAGACAGAGGTGGTTGAAGGACTGGAGACCGAGGTGGTGGAGAGCTTACATGCCGATGTAGAGGGCTTGGAAGCGGAAGTGGTTGAAGGGCTACAGACACAGGTAGTAGAGCTGGAGGCTCAGGTCGTGGAAGCCCTAGAGGGTGAGGTGGAAGTGGAGGGTCTCGAGGCACAAGTTGTGGAGGGTCTGGAAACTGAGGTAGATGTTGAGGACCTGGAAGCTCACGTGGTTGAGAGCCTTGAGGAGGAGGTGGAAGTGGAGGGTTTAGAAGCTGAGGTTGTTGAAGGTCTGGAGGTAGATGTGGAAAGTCTGCACTCTCAAGGGGTGGAGGCCCATGAAATGACAAGTGAAGACATGGTGACCTCAGAACACAGTGTAATCATGCCTGAGAATATTCTGGGCTCAGAGGTTGCGATAGAGGAAGCACTGGACCCCCATCATCACCATGTCCTGACCTCAGACCTCATCCAGGACTCAGACCACCACCATGATGACATGACAGACCAGGTGTTTGTGGCAGAGTTACTGTCTGAGCACCAGGGTAACACTCTGGACCACCAGCTTGTGTCAGAAGGCTTGATGGTGACAGAGGCCAACTCTGAGACCATCATCCACGAACAGCTGCCAACTGAGGCTGTTCCCCTGCAGACCGATGAGGATGATGACGCAAGAAGCAGCTCTGAGGATTACCTCATGATCTCTTGTAAGACAGCTTTCCATATAATAACATAACTTATATTAATGAAACACTGTTCTTATGCAATGCCATGTTTTATTATTGCAGATGTTTTGATAACTAAGGCTATTTGTGTTACTTTAGTGGATGAGGTGGGAGAGAAGCTGGACATAGGAGACACTCCCCTTGAGATCAGCACTGAGGTAATGGAAGACAAAGAATGTAAAGAGGAGGACGGCGCTGAGGTTATCAAAGTCTACATCTTCAAAGCTGAAGCAGATGATGATTTAGGTAAGTGACTATAAGAATAATCAGTTCATCATTTCAATAATTTAATTATTTACTTGTAGATTCATAAATTGAATATACATCACGGCTTTGATTTAATTGTAATTTCCCCCTTCTAGGTGGAACGGAGGTAATAACAGAGGATGATTACCAGAATGGCCACCCTGACCTGGAAGCCGCATCATCAGGCAGACTAGGAGTTGGCCGTGACAAGATGGTCTACATGGCAGTCAAGAACCATCCAAAAGAAGAAGAGGATGATGAGGATGACAGTGATGATGATGATGATGACGATGACATCAGTAAGTACCTCTGTGAAACATAATCTTGTAAAAACTAAATAAATAACTGGTTGTTTGGCTGTAAATAAGTAGAAGGTGTCATTTTTAAGTCTTTGACCCTGAAAGGATGTTTTTGCCTGTGTCTGGGCAGTTTGTACAACAAATGTCACAACTTGCATGTATAACATGTAACATGACAGCAGCTTTGTTTTTAAAAGAACCTATTTTATAATGTGTTACAAAAGTGTTTTTCATTCTATTCATAATGAAATCTAAACTGTCTGTGCAGGTAATACCATTGATCAGGTGAAGAATGGAGCGTCTGCGCCATTTCTGCAAATCCGAGAGGGGCTGGGTGCCAACCGTACCCTCAAACCCAAAGCAAAGAAAAAGAAGAAAGGAGAGATTCGGCAGTGTCAGACTGGTATGAGCAGCATACAATTCCAGGACGATTAGATGATGAGATTGGCATTTGGTACTTTTGTTGTGTCAGAACAACACATTTGTATGATTTGAAAAGGTCAAGGATGTTAACAGTATTTCAATATTTGTCAACCATTTCTTCCAGCTGTTATCATTGGACCAGATGGTTTGCCTTTGACTGTCTACCCCTGCCACATATGTGGAAAGAAGTTCCGCTCACGAGGCTTCCTCAAATGCCACATGAAAAACCACCCGGACCACCTGCTTAAGAAGAAGTACCAGTGCACAGACTGCGACTTTACCACCAACAAGAAGATCAGTTTCCACAACCACTTGGAGAGTCACAAGCTGCTGAACCACAACGAGCGCTCTCCAGAATACACGGAGTACGCACGGCGCTACCACGAGTCCAGTCCCCTGGGCTCTGACAAGCTCATTGTCAAGGACCGGGAGCCCAAACTGCATCACTGCAAGTACTGCGATTATGAGACAGCTGAACAGGGCCTGCTCAACCGTCACCTGCTGGCTGTGCACAGTAAGAACTTTGCACATGTGTGTGTCGAGTGCGCCAAAGGCTTCCGCCACCCATCAGAGCTGAAGAAACACATGCGGACCCACACAGGCGAGAAGCCCTACCACTGCCCGCACTGCGAGTTTCGTTGTGCAGATCAGTCCAACCTAAAGACTCACATCAAGAGCAAGCACGGCGCAGATCTGCCTTTCAAGTGCAGCCACTGTCCGCAAGCCTACGCTGACGCACGGGAACTCCAGCGTCATATAGAGATGGTGCAAGGCCACAAGACCCACCAGTGTCCACACTGTGAGCACAAGAGCACCAACTCCAGTGACCTGAAACGACACATTATCTCTGTTCACACCAAGGACTTCCCGCATCAGTGTGACGTATGTGAGAAAGGCTTTCAT